ATTCAATTTATATTTTTGACCATATAGAAATTTCTATACAGCAGGCAATCTAGGAAAATAATTTTTCTGGGCCACATAGAAATTTCTATACAGCGTTTCGATTTTTATTTTTCTACTCTATCCTTATAGAAATTTCTATACCAGCAAACATAATTTAAATATGCACCCATATATATAGAAATTTCTATGAAGCGTTTCAATTTTTATTTTTGACTTTATCAATATGGAAATTTCTATACGAGGAGAAATGTTTTACCAGTAACATAATTATTATTTTCCGACGGCCTTCACATAGAAATTTCTATACCGATAACCAATTAAAATGACAAAAATTGATATTGCCAGAGTCATCTGCATAGAAATTTCTATACGGAAAGACAATGGAATATTTTGTATAGAAATTTCTATCTGAGAATAGTTTATTTGTAAGTCTAGTTAGAAGCTACATAGAAAATTCTATACGATAAAAAGAAACACAATTTTACTAGACATCAACATGAATATGTATTGATAAAATGATTTTACCTTTATCTGGTTTGATGAAATATTCATATACTTTGTATAAATATTGTAAATCTAATATGATAATAAAACATTGACGGTTGAAATTAATGAAATTCACTGCTGTTTTTACGTTTTTGGGTTTTCAAAAAGGGACTAAACGGTTCATTCTCTTTTTAAATGGTCACGACTTTCAAGTAATATATTTCATATAACAACAACGTTTCAAAGAATACATACGTCTGCTAAAAAGGTGTGTGTTTCTGTTTATGCTTGTAGAATTCCAAAGTGCTACAGATAGTTATATCATTTTTTGATGTTTTTTCAGTGAAATCTAAAGCTACATCAGGTAAGTTTATATCTGCGTAATAACTTCTTTAGATCAGACATTTTTGTAAAAAAATCTATATCTTTATTTTTTAAGCGTATCGCTTGATTGAACCTTTTAAACCCTTTGGATGGAGGCAGAGCCGATTATTCGAATTGTTCTAAAGATTGATAAAAAGTCTGATATATAAATACAGATAGGAGAATCTGACGAATATATTATCATTGATTATTTTTCTATTTTCAGGTTATTCATCGTGTACCGTTTTTGGAGTAGCATGTAGTATATTTGGAGGGGCTATCGGATCATTGTTAGCTCTGCTCATAATTATTGCTCTTCTCTGCTGGGTCGTCAAACTGAACAGCAAAATCAAACAGCTGAAAAATGAACAGTATGTGTCAATCGATTGTACATAACTTAAAAAATTCGCGATTGATGTAAAAAAAGTAAATTGTATATCAAATGAATTTAAAAAATAAATAAACATATGACTCGAGATATTGCTCATGAGCAAAACTGATACAAGCCATGGTTTTTACGTCAATTGATATTTAAGCGAGTGTTAGCCTTTAATATCTAGGTTAATCTGAGGTTTAAGATAGATCGTTCAGATCTGAGTAACATATAAAAATATCAAAATCATGACCTGTTTTGCTAACATTATGTTACTAACACCTTTCGACATTGAATTTTCACCATTCATAAACCTTTTAACCCATGTCTAAATGAGAGATTACTTACTCAGAAAAACATATACTATATTTATTCCACTATCCTTGTATGATTGCCTTAATACTTTTCGTTTAATATTTTCTGAGCCCTTGCCTGATCTTTATCACACCATCGGTGGGATATAGTCGTCATACTGGTCGTGGTCGTGATCGTGGTCGTGATTGTGATCGTCCCGCTTTTTGTCATCGCCGTTTAAGGAAAACTGCTCATCAGATTTTCTCCAAATTCGCAGAGATAATAGAGCATATGAAGTACTAGAGCTGATTACATTTTGGGTGGCCATCTTGTTTTCTGGCGGCCATTTTGAAGGTTTTTCGAAAAATCTTGTCATCGCCATTTCAGGAAAACCGCTCATTGGATTTCCTTCAAATTTACACAAATGATAGAGGATATCAAGTACTAGAGCTGATTAACTTTTGGGCGACCATCTTGTTTTCTGGCAGCCATTTTGAAGATTTTTCGAAAAATCTTGTCATCGCCATTTCAGAAAATCAGCTCATCGGATTATCTTCAAAATTACACACATGATAGAGGATATCAAGTACTAGAGCTGATTAACTTTTGGACGGCCATCTTGTTTTCTGGTGGCCATTTTGAAGGTTTCTCGAAAAATCTTGTCAACGCCATTTCAGGAAAACCGCTCATCGGATTTCCTTCAAATTTACACAAATGATAGAGGGTATCAAGTACTAGAGCTGATTAACTTTTGGGCGGCCATCTTGTTTTCTGGTGGCCATTTTGAAGGTTTTTTGAAAAATCTTGTCATCGCCGTTTCAGGAAAACCGTTCATCGGATTTCCTTCAAATTTACACACATGATAGAGGATATCAAGTACTAGAGCTGATTAACTTTGTGGCAGCCATCTTGTTTTCTGGTGGCCATTTGAAGTTTTTTCGAAAAGATTTTGTCATCGCCAATTTAGGAAAACCGCTCATCGGATTTCCTTCAAATTCGCACAGATGATAGAGGATATCAAGTAATAGAGCTGATTAACTTTTGGGCGGCAATCTTGTTTTTTGGTGGCCATTTTTAGGGTTTTTCGAAAAATCTTGTCATTGCCATTTCAGGAAAACTGCTCATCGGATTTCCTGTACATGATAGGGGATATCAAGTTCTAGAACTAAATTCTGGGTGGCCATTTTTGTTTTCTTGCGGCCATTTTGAAGGTTTTTCGATTAATCTTCTCATCGCCATTTCAAGAAAACCCCTCATCAGATTTTGAACTAGAGCTGATTAACTTTTGGGTGGCCATCTTGTTTTCTGGTGGCTATTTTGAAGTTTTTTGATAAATCTTGTCATCACCATTTTAGAAAAAACGCTAATTGGATTTCCTTCAAATTCGCACACATGATAGGGGATATCAAGTTCTACACCCTTTTGATGGTGTGATCTCGTTCACGTCCTTTGCCTTGTTCCATAAAAATGTTTACATTTTTGTATTGAGCTCTTTTAAATAGATATCTGGACATTTGAATGTCATTAACATACAATTTGTGATGAAATAAGACGTTTTAACACACACACTTTACAAGCTAAAGCTACGTTTTTTGACCCAGCATTTTAAAATGTACTCCATATTATCTTTTTTATCCCTCCAATTTTCATCTATTTTATATCACGCTGCTATTATGTGATACTATAACGTTACCCAATAGAAAGAAAAACATGTAACAATGCGGTTGGTGGCTCAATTTTCTTGGATTTATTTTTCACACATAATAGATTACATGTATACATATATTTTACAACGTACATGTGTACGAGTATAGTCAAATACAAAATAATTTTATGTAATATTATATAGTATGGCGCTAAAAACAGGGTGGAGGATATCAGTATATTTTCCAAGAATTTTCTAATCTTGATAAAAATCGTTGTGTCATCTGTATAACTAGTCAATTTGATTTCGGTATTACTTGTTTATCTTGATGCCTTCAACGTTATTATCTTGACTTATTTTGCAAGTAAACACTTCTGTTGAAAAAAAACCCAGAGATCTCATAGGGCAACCTTGTCTTAATTCTCGATTTTGATTAAAATAATTTGTGGAAACCCTATTATTAGAAACTATGGACATTGTATTTTTGTTAAAAATTGAATTTTTTGAAATATATATATCATATATTTGCAAAATATGGTCCATTTACTCTCTGCCGCCCTCACCTACATCTGGGCATACAGCTGTAGATGAGGGCGGCAAGGTTAAGTGAACCATGTTTTGAAATTGAATTTATTTTTAATTTTAAAAAGTCTTTGTATATACATTTTTGTTTTTAAGTGTCCATTCGAATTCAGTAATCTAAAAAATACACAGCCAGCGTCTCGTCGATTGAAAACCATTCCCAAATCTGTAGTAACAAAAACATATATATATCGGGTGTCCCAAAAAATGAGACACTTTTTGCCAAGTATTTTCTCGGCAACTAATAAACCAAACTCACTGAGAATTTGTACAAATTAGCCTGAGAGTATCATTAGCAAGTTGTACAAATATAAAACAAATCAAGTGAATATTCTCCGAGTAATAAGAGATTCAAAATAGCATGTCAAATATTCCCATACCGGAGCTCTGCGATGAGACCTCTACAGTGTTTCTAACAGCTATCAGGTGATAGAATTTGTAAATAAGTCAAAATAGCTTGTCTGTGTGTCATGTCTACTTAATTCATTTCATTCTTCCCAAATATTCAAAATCCATTCATTCTCAAAATTCATTTGAGGTGATATTGTTAAGAATAAATACGGAAAGGTATTTTGCATGAAAAGGATTAATAAGTGAGATTTACATCGATATTGGTTATTTTTACATACTGTTTCTAATTCAACAATACACACATAATATGAAGCCAATCTCTTACATATTTAAAGCAAGAGCAGAAAATACCCTAAAGTGCCTCAAGTGAAGTTTTCAAATTATTTGGCTCATCTATTGCTGATAAATCACTTGTCTAATTCCTTCCCATTTTGGTACAAACGCGATGAAAATTCTCATTGTATTGCTCCGGTATGGGACATTTTGACATGCTATCTTGAATTTCTTAATACTCGCATACAATTTATCTGATCTTTGTCATATTTCTGTACCTTGCTAACGATACTCCTTGGCTACTTTGTACAAATTTTCAAAAGATTTGGTTCATCAGTTGCCGAGAAAATACTTGGCAAAAAGTGTCTCATTTTTTGGGACACCCGATATATACAATTATATTATTAGACATGAATAGTTATGCAAACACGAACATGTTTGCATGCCTGTCTCGTCCCAAAATGTTTGCATACCCTCGTTAAAGATAATATTTGTTGAAAAGTTTGGTTAAACTCATTATAATTATTATAATTTGCTATTCTTAGATAAAAAAAATAGTATCATCTTACTTGTATGAACGCTAAGATATAAGTAATCGTCGGTATCGATGATGCTCTTCCTGCTTTGCTTCTTTCGTACCGTTGTGCCACTGAATATAAAGGAAATCTAAGTGCATATGTTTATACAAATAGTTTGCCAGTTGTTACAGTGAAGTTCAATACAGAATATAGGTAAATAGTGTGAGGAAGTTTGATACAGAATCCAAAGTCAATTGAGGAACCGTTGAAGAAGCTACTATTCAAGTAATAAATCTAGCTAGAGAATATGGTATTTAATAGCAACGAACTACGTGTTATGATAAATATTACTCAGTCATATAATATGAACTAATTGTCAATTCATTTTGGAATTTGGGCATCTCGTTAACAGACTCTGACACCCATTTACGTATGACTTAACATCACTATAAATAAAATATATACTTTCAAAAACTGCTACTTTATACACTACCTTGATCAATACCTCTAACACTAATTGTTATTTCACTGCATTTTCTATGGCTGTTGAAGCTATTCTTTGCGCAGCATCTGTACACTCCAGCATCGCCAATTCCTATCCATTTGATTTGTTTTGTGTGGCCCGTTTCACCATAACTGAAGTTTACATCACTCGTTGCTTTAAATTGCCATGTGTACGATGGTTGGGGGTTACCTCGTGATACCGCTGTAAAACTGGCAGCCATCCCTTCTTGTAGAATTTCATGATTTTTAATGATTTTGTCTCCGTTTATGAAGAGTGTAGGCTTCTGAGCCTGATCTAAAAGAAGAAAAGAAGACTAATATACATCTTGACTGAGGGGTAGTAAATCTTCACCCAAAAGGTGACTTGCCATGATATGATATCATTCGTAATAATTTCTAATACCTATGTTTGTAATGCATTCGCCTACAAAAGTAAGACCGAATCAGATTAATTGTTTTTTTTATGTTTTATCACAGAGTAGTACATTCAATCTGAACCAATCTGATAGTTGAACGGGATATCAGGACATTTTATACCATGGCCAGAGTAATGTCAGGTATATAATAGCAAGTGATAAATCACATGTTTGGGATAGGGATGGCATCAGGGATGATATTGGAATTAGCGGGATGATATCAGGTTTGATATCGATATCATCCCGGGTATTTTTTTTGAAAATTTTCATTTTTTTCAGAAATTTTAATTTTTAAAAGTGTTATCTCACTTAACAGAGGATTGTTTGGTAGGTACTACTCTTGCCCGTGGTATCCGGTCGTTATTCATCTGTCGGGATGATATTGGGAATATCCCTTGGATGATATCAATATTTCCCTCTGTCACTGTCACTTCTCTTTGGAAATCTTGATATCATCTGTGTGATATTCCCCATATCAAATCTCTCTGGGATGATAACAATACAATTAAGCACTATTTATTCAGGATTAACTTGTCGAAAAAAATATATTACTACTTGATATATATACTTATTAATGATCGGAAAATCGAAAATGAAAGAGAGAAAGTATCGCAACAGATATCGCAACCCATCGACATTTTTTCCTGAAATGTCCTGATTTGAAACCCCTTCCACCCTGCATTTTCGATATTTGTTGCATCAATATGTTGTGTTTTGAGACACTGTTAACCCAGCAAACAGTGACGTCCATGTAACGTCACTCATATGTGGTATATAAGTTCACTGGAGACGTTGTATATTTCCGTTATATAAACGTCAAAGCAACGTAAAATTGTGACATTCAGCAAAACGTCGGTGGATGGTTAAAAAATGACGTTGTAGTAATGTGTTAGTAAAGTTCGAAATTTGTGCTGGTGTGAAAAACGTAACAATGACGTTGAATTTTTACCAGTTTGGTTCATTTGCAACGTAATATAAACGGTAAAATTTAACGTTGTCGTAACGTTTTTTAAATGTGTAAAATATTTGTAAGTGCAGGAAACATTACAAAGACGTTGCAGTTCTCACCAAATTGTTTCATTTGCTACGTAATATAAACGGTAAAATTTGACGTTGTCGTAACGTGTTTTAAATGTGAAAGATATTTGTAAGTGTAGAAAACGTTACAAAGACGTTGTGTTCTCACCAAATTTGGTACATTTGCTACGTAATGTAAACGGTAAAATTTGACGTTGTCGTAACGTGTTTTAAACGTGAAAGATATTTGTAAGTGTAGAGAACGTTACAAAGACGTTGCACTTCTCACCAAATTGTTTCATTTGCTACGTAATATAAACGGTAAAATTTGACGTTGTCGTAACGTGTTTTAAATGTGAAAGATATTTGTAAGTGTAGAAAACGTTACAAAGACGTTGTGTTCTCACCAAATTTGGTACATTTGCTACGTAATGTAGACGGTAAAATTTGACGTTGTCGTAACGTGTTTTAAACGTGAAAGATATTTGTAAGTGTAAAAAACGTTACAAAGACGTTGCACTTCTCACCAAATTGTTTCATTTGCTACGTAATATAAACGGTAAAATTTAACGTTGTCGTAACGTTTTTTAAATGTGTAAAATATTTGTAAGTGCAGGAAACATTACAAAGACGTTGCAGTTCTCACCAAATTGTTTCATTTGCTACGTAATATAAACGGTAAAATTTGACGTTGTCGTAACGTGTTTTAAATGTGAAAGATATTTGTAAGTGTAGAAAACGTTACAAAGACGTTGTGTTCTCACCAAATTTGGTACATTTGCTACGTAATGTAAACGGTAAAATTTGACGTTGTCGTAACGTGTTTTAAACGTGAAAGATATTTGTAAGTGTAGAAAACGTTACAAAGACGTTGCACTTCTCACCAAATTGTTTCATTTGCTACGTAATATAAATGGTAAAATTTGATGTTGTCGTAACGTGTTCTAAATGTGAAAGATATTTGTAAGTGTAAAAAACGTTACAAAGACGTTGTGTTCTCACCAAATTTGGTACATTTGCTACGTAATGTAAACGGTAAAATTTGACGTTGTCGTAACGTGTTTTAAATGTGAAAGATATTTGTAAGTGTAGAAAACGTTACAAAGACGTTGCACTTCTCACCAAATTGTTTCATTTGCTACGTAATATAAACGGTAAAATTTGATGTCGTCGTAACGTGTTCTAAATGTGAAAGATATTTGTAAGTGTAAAAAACGTTACAAAGACGTTGCGTTCTCACCAAATTTGGTACATTTGCTACGTAATGTAAACAGTAAAATTTGACGTTGTCGTAACGTACTTGTTTTAAATGTGAAAGATATTTGTAAGTGTAGAAAACGTTACAAAGACGTTGCAGTTCTCACCAAATTGTTACATTTGCTACGTAATATAAACAGTAAAATTTGACGTTGTCGTAACGTGTTTTAAATGTGAAAGATAATTGTAAGTCTAGGAAACGTTACAAAGTCCTTGTTTTCCCACCAAATTGGTTCATTTGCCACGTAGTGAAAATGGCTAATTGTAACGTTGTCAAAACATGGTTTGAATGTGAAAAATATTTGTAATTGTAACACACGTTACAAAGACGTCATTTTCTGACCAAAATGGTTCATTTTCAACGTAGTGCAAACGGTTAATTTCAACGTTGTCGAAACGTGTTTTCAATTGAAATGTAAAAAAATATTTGTAAGTGCAGGAAACGTTACAAAAAGACGCTATGTCCTCACGAAATTGGTTTATTTGCAACGTTGTCGAAACAGTTAATTTTGACGTTGACGAAACGGGGTTTAAACGTGAAAAATACATTTACATGTATGTGAAAAAGAACGTGACAAAGACGTTGTGGTCTCAACAAATTCGTTTAATTTGTGACGTGAAGTAAATGTTAAATATATAACGAATATACATGTATGCCTCGAGTTGTGGTAACTTTAAATACTGATCGGTGGAGGCACAGGCATATGTTGGCTCACACAGATGAACTTAACGTGGTAATTGAGAGTGAGAGTGGAAATATGATGTAAAGAAAACGTTTCTCCGACGTTGTAATTTTGCCATTGGTTATTGCTGACAAAAGTCTGACGTTCTGTCCCGGGGGGTTCATTCCAATATACCTCTTAATACCTATGTGCCGCGCCAAAGACCCCCTTTTTGAGCATTTTTTCCATGTCAATTTCCTCTCAAAATTGGAAGTTTCCACGTATTATTCCTTTCAGAGTTATAAAATTCCATATTTTCTTCCTCTGAACTTCATAGATGTCCATGTCGACTTCCTCTGGAGCTTGCCGGTGTAAAAGAAATTATGGTCCCCTGGGGATTATGGTCCCCTTTCTTAAAGGCCCTTACTGGCCCCGATTGTGGATACGATAATAAGGGAGAGTTGTATTTAGGTCACCATATAAATCAATGGAAAGTAGGACCATAATTTGATAGGACCTCCTACCCTTTTACACCGGGACTAAAGTTTGCGAATTATCGGTAAATTGACTAAAACTCCACTCTTCCGGCGATTTGTCAGACCTCGGGACAAAAATTTTAGTCCCTTTCAACAAGGGCGAGCGTTACAAACGGAAAGTACATCGTTCGCAAATTTGATGTATTTCTCGTTCGGCTTTTTATCGTATTCTGTTCTATCAACCAATAGAAATAGAGGAATTCCCGCGTCGAAATCAACATGGAGGACAGTTCCAAGTTCAAGAATATTGCTGCTTAAAAGCAACTTGGGAGCCGTACTGCCAGCTTTCGAAGGTAAGAATGATGCATGCATGTTACACAATCACCAAAGGTTAAAATGAAAGCATTCCATGGCTTGCAGCGAGAACACAAATAATCTCATGTGAAAGTTGGGATCGTTTCAATTTTCAAAATTTTTGTCAGTTGAAATTAGACTTTTGAATATTCTGATATTTGAATCGATGTTATTGATTTTCAATTTCATCACGATTTTCAATCATAATTCCTGGTTCATAATTTTCGTTAGGTCAATTACAAGGGGTCCAGGGGTCAATTAACCATCAGCGACTTTCAAGTCAGATCCGGTCCCTGGGATCTGGCGCAGAGGTGTTGATTGGATGGTGAAGTGTTTATGGCAAATGGTTTATGCAGTTATCTTAATCTTGATGGTGATCTCTGTTAGATCATGGTTAGATCTACCTCTTTCAAAGAATAGACATTGCCCGGGGAGTCAGTGATTGCCTTTAGCCTGATAGATAATCATGATGGCAGAAATACAGAAATACACAAACATGTATCAGTTTCATATGCTTTAGAAAATGTACATGTTTGCGAACAAATAGTTCAGAAGACAATAGAATCGTCGATTTAATTCCTCACTTAAGTTACATAAACGGTTTTTCGAAAAACAGTTAAGATCTGCACTTTTAACCCGAACCGTTTGTGTAACTTAAGTGAGGAATTAAATCGATGATTCTGTTGTCTTCTGAGCTATGCCTATTTTTCGCAAACATGTTCATTTTCTAAAACATATGATGCTGATACATGTTTGTGAGAAAAAATGTTGTGGGGATTCTGCCTACAATGCGTGAAATAAGGAAAAAAGAAAATCGTACCTTCGACGTTCCGACATTTTGTTACCAAAATGAACCGTTTCGGTAACCAGTGTAATGGAGCGGATCACCAGTGAATAGATAGCATACTATATTTAGGGAGTTCTTTAATTTTTTTGAAAATAACATGGCAGAGAAGCATTGAAATATGAGGTCACAGATATGATAGCTAAACTACAAAACAAACTAAAATAAACAAAAGTAAGAACATGTATAAATGTTTCTATTTTTACATGTTCTGGTTCAATGTGGTCCTTTAATTGCTTATTTTTTAGATTCAGAGAAGTTCCAAACAT